AGGTGGATTTTGGTCGTAAAACAACTATAACGATTGTACATTCGTTTATTCAATACTATAACGAATGGACAATCGTTATAGTTGTTTTCTGGAACAAAACGTGTTTTCTTTATGGTTTTTTTGATCAAACTACTTGATTACTCATGTATATTCATGCTACGTGCCATTGGAACGATAGTTTGAAGGTGTTGGATCGTCGAAACACTCACGACGAAACTCTTTTCTTTTAAATAACAACACTTGTTCTTTATTTTTTTTTTAAATGGTTAGATCATGTAAAATGTTTGTAAATTCGTTATTTTATATAAAAAAAGACTAAAAGTAGACTGATAACGAGTTTAATATATTTATAATGTATTATATGATGAATTACGGTCTCGTTTAAGGTGAATTTTGGTTGAAAAACAACTATAACGATTGTACATTTGTTTTTTCAATTCTATAAAGAATGGACAATCGTTTTAGTTGTTTTTCAGAACAAAAAGCGTTTTCTTTATAGTTTTTTTGATTGAATTACTTGATTACTCACGTATATTCATGTTACGTGTCATTGGAATGATAGTTTGAAGGTGTTGGAACAAAACTCTTTTTTTTTTTGAAATAACAAAACTTGTTCTTTATTTTTTTTAAATGGTTAGATCATGTAAAATGTTTGTGAGTTCGTTATTTTACATGAAAAATGACTCCCCGGAATTAAATCGAGTAACATTTCATTTATGTTAATCAAAAGTAAAAAAAAAAAAAAAAACTGCCAGGACGCCGCGGGAGCGACGTGTGTCGCGGGAGTGACACTTACTGGGACAGAACCAGTGCTAGGACGTCGCGGGCGCGACGCGTGTCGCGAGCGCGACACTTAAGGGGCAGAACCACTCCCAGGACGTCGCAGGCGCGCCAAAGGGTCTCGAGCGCGACACCGTTTTTTTTTGTTTGTTTAATTTTTTTAACATGAATAAAAGGTTCCGCACTTTAATTCCGGGACATTTGAACTTAAAAATGACCAAAATGAGACCCATAACGAGTTTAACATCTTCATAATGTGTTATTTGACGAGTGCACGGTCGGTTAAGGTGCATTTGTTACGAAAAACAACAATAACGAATGTACATTCGTGATTTCAATGGAAAAATGAATGTACAGTCGTTATAGTTGTTATTCGTCCAAAACGCGCTTTCTGTATGGTTTTTTTTGGAGTTACTTGATAAAGATTGTATGTTAATGTTACATGTTATTGGAATGATAGTTTGAAGGTGTTAGAGCGTCGAAACAAATGCACCTTAACCGACTGTGAACTTGGCAGACAACTGGGCATGTTTCTTATCGGACAGAGCGCCCGCGACAGTCAGTTTTTTTTTTATTATTATTATAACGTTGTAAAATCGTTATATCATACAAAATAAGGATTGGATAATCGTTATATTGAAACAATTATATATCGCGGTCGCGACACTGGGCCTGTTCCTTCTCGGACAGAGAATTTGCCAGGCTGTCGCGGCCATGACAAACGTCGCACCCGCGACATTCAATTTTTTTTTTTTCAAACAACTTGTAATATGTTCCTTGACTTATTTTCAAGAGCTCGACATCGAACCCCTTCGTATTTTATTACATTAAAACTTCTCGTTACAGTAATACTTTTAACCATTTTCATAAACTACTATTATAACCACTGCATTTGGAAGTACATAAAAAATACAACTTCACAAATCGACCACCCGCATCATTGTTGTAACACCCCGTACTAAAATTATATTAGTAGCTCGACTTTATTTATCGAAATTAGTATTATTTTAATTATGCAGAGAATTATTAATATTAATTGCATAATTTATTTATTTTCAAGCCCAAGTAGTATTTTAAATAATCGAGCCTAGTAGCAATTATTTATCCGAGCCCAAGTCGTTAAAATCGAGCCCAATCTATTAGGCCCGATTTTTAAGCCCAATTTCTACAAAAAACCCTAAGCTCCCCACCCTCCTATAAATATCATGTCCCCATGTCTCCCAACACACCAACAAAAAACCCTAGCCCCCAAGTTACTATTCATTGTCTTCCACCTTCCATTTTCAAGATCTAGTCCAAAAATCCACACCATGTCTTAGCTTGTTCAAGGATCTAGCTTTTAAAGTCAAAAACCCATCTTCTCAAGTCAAGGACATAAGCTTTCCCATGGCTTGACCATCATTTCCGGCCGACCACCACCCGTTTTCCGGCGAGCAGCTCCACTCCACGCGAGCTCGCATCTCTGTCCAGCCTCAATCGAGTTGTGCGACCTCAGCGAGCCACCGCGACCCCAGCTGCAGAGGCGTTGTCTCCTTCCCAGCTCCGGCAACGTCGAGCTCGCACCAGCCATCTCCGGCGACCTCACTTCTATCGGCAAGTAGCTCCAACACCGAACAACAGTCACCCACGGTCTCCTGTCGCGCCACCTTGAGGTTCCATTTCTGGTGAAGTCAACGTCCTCCGACCAAACCCGCAGCTCCCTGTCGCAACAGCGACCTCCAGCCCCATTTTCCGGCGAGCTCACGTCGCCCTCCTTCTCGACGAGCAGACCAACAGCACGAACTCGAACCTGACCCCAACCTCACGCGTGAAGACTGTAGCTCCTATTCACGCGTCCAACAGTGGACGGTGTTAGTACATTCGCGGGCCAACCACCACAGCGCCTCCACGCGCGCCCGAGCTCGGATTTCAGCCCCGAACCGACCACCTGACCTCAGGTCCGACCCGAACTGCAGCCCAGCTCCTCAGATCCGCGATTCTCAGCCCAAAAACCGAGCCTATAGCCTAGATCCGAGTACACCCGAGCTCAACTGGGCCATTTCCTAGCCGTTGTAATTTTTCCGACTTCCGATTTGAACCTTTTGAGAGGTATATCGGCTTAAACCTTACTCCCTGAGCTTAATTGAGTATTTAGATGTATTTTAAAATTTACGGGAGGTGATTTCGAGCATTATAAGATTTATGGTGAATTTATCGGCTTAAATGACATTAAATTCCGTAAATATTGGTTGCTGCCCGGAAAAATGCAAAACTAGCGTGATAAAATTCGTATAGCTGACTTGAGGCCTAGGTTTTAATTTCGTAATTTTTGGTGCTCGTTTAGTATGTTAACTGGATTTTTGAATATGTAGCCGAAATGCCCGATTTTTGATAAATATGATAGACCTCGAAATTCGATGCCACTTTCACGAAAAATCTTATAAATGCTGAGTATGACGTGGTTTAAATTTCATAATTTTCAGAGGGTGTTTGGTATGCCTACAAATTCGAGACTTTAGCTGCTTTGGTGAAAACCCTAGAATTTATCCGGTTGAGATTTAGCTAAAATCACTAGAAATCACGGTGAACTTAAAGTTTTGACTTGAACCGGGATAGATAGCCGGTTGAGTAGAGAACCCTAGTTTGGCCTTTTTTCGGTCAGTCCGGATGAACTCTAGATCCGAGTAGAAAAGTTGTGCGTCGGCTGATGTCGTGTCCGTGCGTATGCACCCGGACCACGATTAAGTCGAGTTGCACCCAGTCATATAAATAAGATCAGATCAGTCAGATAAGTTAGATCAGATAAATCAGATAAGCAGACCAGACTTAGAAATATTTCAGAGAACTCTAGAACGCCTCAAGTCAACAAATCTTTTCAGAATAGCTCAAAGCATCTAAATCCAGATTAAATGATATTTTAATCGAGCGAGAGAACCGAGTAAGATCTATTAATAATAAGAATCAAGTTTTTATTTGAGCTTAGTACTTAGTACATTTTGCTCAAATATTTATGTAGCTTAAGGAGAGTCGAGCCTCCGACAGCTACCAGTCAGTCAGCACTTGCCTAGCAGTAGCAGTTTATCAGGTGGGGGTCACGTACTGGTTATACATCATCTTTAATTTCCGTACCATGTCCGAGGTATGTATGAGAAATAGTTAGTTCACCATGAGGGAGGCCGTGGCGGGCCTTAATGATCCCCCGTGGTTCTGAGGGAGGCCTTAATTGGCCTTAATGATCCCCCGGAGTGTGCACATGATTGGCTTTAAGCCCAGGGTCTTTATGACCACTAGATGCCCTAGTTACAGTTTCAGTTCAGATCAGTTCTTATATACTTAAAGTCATGATATTGTTATTAACGATGCTATATAATTAAGTACTGGTCTTTGCGGAGCATAGTGGTTTTGCTCACGCCCCCATTACGTTTTTCAGGTGACGGAGCGGCGCGTGGCGCGTGAGATTTCAGTGGTGGTCGTGGTCATTAGCAGTCTTTTTGTAACGCATCTGCATGTCATTTATTGAACATGTACTATCATTACTATGCGTAGACATATTATGTTTCAGCTTCCGCACATTTCAGACTTAGTATGTATTATGAGATTATCAGACTTATGCATGTATAATGCCTTTATCTCCGTGGTACCTTTATATAACGGATTTGATTAGGTTGCATGTATTTATTTACGTCTGCATGAGAAAGAGTTTAAGTTAGTAGCATCCCGCAGGTTAGTATGAGTATTTTCGAAAATAAAGTTTAAGAGTTTTTCGAAAATAAAAGGCAAAAATTTTACTCTGATTTTATAAATTCTAGAAATAATTAGGCGGGGTGTTACAGTTGGTATCAGAGCCACTTTTTGGTTCTGTATACTTAAAAGTTTAGAAAAGCATGACCACGCCACGCTCACGCCGCGCTGACTCCGAGGTAAGTCACCTAAGTTTTTTTTTAAATTTCTGCAAGTGCATGAGACTATAGTAAGAAACCTTAGGGGCCATCTATCCTCCGACTAGAAAGAGAACTTTAGACAGAATTATAGAAAGTTTATCTAAGTCCAACTCTAGACTTTATCAGAATTTGAACTAGAATCAGTAGAGTTAAGCAGAAACTGGAACTCTAGCCAAGCTAGGTGTTTTCGGTAAATTACTTAAATTCGTCAAGTAGTGTGGCTATTTATTAATTGGCTATACTAATCAAGTTGTTATTTGGCTATTCAGAATGCCGCCCCGTAGAGCCCCACCCGCAGAGCGGGATCAGTCAGTAGTCGCAGCCCAGTTCCGGACTTACGCCCCTCCGGTCTTCACTAGAGAAGAGGGCCCGTTGGCCGTAGGAGACTGGATCCGCAAGATGGATCGTATTTTCCGGATGATGGGCATATTCGACCAGCACATGGTCTCTTGTGTCGAGTTTCAGATAGAGGGTGCGGCCGGAGACTGGTGGGACGACTACTGGCGTCTCAGGACAGCTGACGAGCGAGACCAGCTGACTTGGGATCAGCTTAAGGGGATTTTGGAGGCCAAGTACTACCCTCGACACTTTCGCGAGAGGATGGAGCGAGAGTTCTATGAATTGCTTCAGGGAGACCGCTCGGTTGAGGAGTACGAGCGGGAGTTCGCTCGTAAGAGCGCCTTTGCACGCCATCTTGTGGACACTGACGACAAGAAGGCCTCCCGTTTCCGCAATGGCCTAACCAGAGACCTTCGAGTGCTCGTAGACAGCCATGGCTATTTGACTTATGCTGAGACCGTTGAGCGGGCTCAACAGATTGAGGCATCCCAGCTGCTAGACACTCCTGCACAGCCACTAGCTCAAGTGGCACCACTAGCCAGACAGCCAGTTGCCGTCCAGCCAGCCCTGCCAGCGCCACCTCAGCAGGCGCAGCACCGAAACAAGAGGAAGTGGAGAGGTCGCGACGATAGGAGGAACCGTCGACCAGGAGCCCCAGCTCAGGCAGCACCACCGGTCCCGCAGCCCCCAGCTATTTGCGCTACTTGTCAGCGCGCCCACCGGGGAGAGTGCCTAGCTGGGCAGGACATTTGCTATCGTTGCCGCAGGCCCGGTTATAGGATCGCAGACTGCCCAGATCGCCCACAGCCTCAGCAGGGCCAGAGACCGCCAGCTCATAGGCAGCCAGCACCGAGACAGCCAGCTCAGTACCCACCTCAAGGTGCACCTGCCCGCATTTACGCACTTGACCAGGAGCAGGCCGCCGAGCAGCCAGGTACCATGTCTGGCATGCTCTCTTTACTCGATGTACCTGTCTTCACTTTGTTCGATACCGGGGCGACACATTCGTTCGTCTCGGCCAAGTGTCTAGAGGCCATAGGGGTCCAGGGTGTGAGTGACGTCGACCCCCTCGAGATCAGCCTAGCTTCGGGGAGGAAGATAGTCACGAGTTCCCTGGCCAAGAACCTTAGCATGTGTATTGGAGGCAGAACTCTAGAGGTAGACGCATTCGTGATCGAGATGAGGGACTTTGACCTTATTCTCGGCATGGATTGTTTGGAGAGATATCACGCGGACATCCGATGCCGTGATAGAGAGGTGACGTTGCACTTAGCCGATGGAGACCACATCACATTCTTCGGGACGAGGACGAGGACTTTACCGCGTATCATTTCCATGGCGAAGGCGACTAAGTGCCTACAGAGGGAGGATTGTCAGGGCTATCTAGTCACTATGCTCGGGGAACCTTCGGAGGAGCGCATGCCCGGAGATGTACCCATAGTGAGAGATTTGTGGACGTCTTTCCGGATCAGCTACCGGGAGGACCACCTAGCCGTCAGGTGGAGTTCACGATCGACCTGTTGCCTGGAGCTGGGCCAGTGTCAAAAGCGTCGTATCGTATGGCGCCGAAGGAGCTTCAGGAGTTGAAGGCTCAGATTCAGGAGTTGTTGGGTCTCGGCTTCATCCGGCCGAGCGTTTCACCTTGGGGAGCACATGTCCTCTTTGTGAAGAAGAAGGACGGGACACTGCGCATGTGCATCGACTACCGGGACTTGAACCGGTTAATGGTGAAGAACAAGTATCCACTCCCCAGGATAGAGGACTTATTCGACCAGCTGAGAGGTGCCCGTGTGTTTTCCCGGATAGATCTTCGTTCGGGTTACCATCAGTTGAGGATTCGGGAGTCTGACGTGGCGAAGACCGCGTTTCGTACCCGATACGGTCATTATGAGTTTGTCGTGATGCCGTTCGGCTTGACCAATGCGCCGGCGGTATTCATGGATCTCATGAACCGTGTCTTTCACCCATTCTTGGACCAGTTTGTCATCGTCTTCATAGATGACATTTTGGTCTACTCGAGGAGCACAGCCCAGCACGAGGAGCATTTGAGGATCGTGTTGGAGACTCTTAGGCGGGAGAGACTGTACGCCAAGTTCTCGAAGTGCGAGTTTTGGCTCGATCGAGTGGCATTCCTCGGTCACATTGTTACGGCCGAGGGCATTGAGGTCTATCCCGGGAAGATCGAGGCAGTGAGGAACTGGTCAGCATCGAGGTCTGTTACCGAGATACGGAGTTTTCTCGGGTTAGCAGGCTACTACAGGAGGTTCATTGAGGGGTTTTCGAAGATAGCCCTATCCTTGACACACTTGACGAGGAAAGGGACTAAGTTCGATTGGAGTAGCCGTTGTGAGTCGAGCTTTCAGGAGCTCAAGAGGAGGTTGACTACGGCACCCGTGCTGACTATTCCAGACCCTACACGGAGTTTCACTATCTATAGTGATGCTTCGAAGAAGGGACTTGGGTGCGTGCTGATGCAGGAGGGCAAGGTTGTCGCTTACGCTTCGCGACAGCTGAAGCCCCACGAGGAGAACTACCCGACTCCTAACATTGAGTTGGCAGCCGTTGTCCACGCACTCAAGATTTGGAGGCACTATTTGTATGGTGGTCGGTGCGAGATCTACACCGATCACAAGAGTTTGCAGTACATCTTCACGCAGAAGGAGCTCAACATGCGCCAGAGGCGA